ACTAAATATATTAATTTGATACAGCCAAGGAAAGAATAATTCTAATAGCTCAGTCAATACGGTCATCCTTATCACTAATTGCTATTAATATTTAGATAGAAAAGATAAATTTTCCGAGGGATGATCTCCCTGATCTCCCAACATATCTATCGTGTCCTATTAAATCCAGAGAGGGGCGCTTGCATGCCCCCTCTTTATATAAAATCCTCACTATTCAGGGATGAATAGTATATATTTTTGTAACTATCCTGAATGGTCATCTAGAAAGACTTTCTATGTTTGTTTTTATGTCATGTACTTTGAGTAGTATAAGTCGGTCCTCGTCCCACAGTCATTATTAGACTAATTGACAAGCTTTCGATCATTAACGTATACATATTACAAGCGCAATGAATGGAAACTTGAATATATATATGCTTCTCAAACTGTATTTCAATACTCACAAGTAGATAGTTTACTAGGCAATGAAATAAATATTCTTTGGCTTTGGTAAATTAGCAGAAACTGGCAGAATGGGACACATCACAAGTATGAGAATATCACTTTCTACATTTTTCATTTAGGTACATGTGTATTTAGTACCATTTTGTCCATGTTAAATCAATAATACAATACAAGCAAATCTTACCCTAAAGTAAAAATGATTATAGTTTCTGATCAATATTCTTGTAAACATTCGTCTGATATCTTTGAATTATCTTCTAGAACATCAATAGTAAAATATATAGCAATTATTAACTATCTAAATTGGGAGACTAGTTTTAGTATCTAATTGAATGTAAATATTATATTTCTATGGTTAATGAATCATATTCATGAAAAAGACAATTTATTCCACAATTAAGACACAACATGAAACAGTTACCTGTATCTGAAAATTACAGCAAAGATACATGTATTTCCTTATAAATTTTAAAGGGTGAAAAAATATTTTTCATGAAGAGGTCACTTGACTTTTTTCTTACCCAGGATAACCGTTTTTATGCGATTTCTTAAATTGTCAATATTCTAATGTTTAATCAACTAGAATGACAAACTTAGTTGAATTTGAAAACACTATTGATTGGTCGCAATACTGTCAAATTTGTTCAAAGTGAGTTTTTTAAGACAATGGTTTATGTTAGTATAGGTTTGATTAAGAGAGTAGACAGAGTTTTTGGGTCATATGATAGTTGACATCATGACAACAACAACTCATGTACGACACATTGGTACAGACTTGTACCATATACATGTGGCGAGTTTCTCGCTATACTATAAGGTGTATTAGCAAATTATGAAGGGACTGCAAACAAATTTTTTTGATGAGCCACTGATCAAGAAAGATCAAATATTGTTTTGATTATCTAGTCTGTACAGACATGGACATTTATGATTGGTTAACTTTCTTAATTATGTGCAACAGCTACTCAGGTATTTTGCTATTTCATTTTGAAAAAATGTAATGAATTAATTTGAATTAATGTAACTTCACATATCTCCTTCCGAATAGATTGAGCTCATGATATGGTAATGTGGCCAGTCATTCAAATATAGCTTCAAATCATTTGGTGATGTAGTCTACATTAATAATTAAGCATCGCCAAGCAGATTTGAGTTTGTTGTCTTCTCCTAGCCTTTCTATTTCCACATACCGGTATATTTCTTTAGGTTAAGAAACATGGATAATTCATTATAAACACCAATAATCAAATAGTTTGCTTTACTTTTAAAAATACGACAAGCCAACTTTAATAAGTCAAGCTGAAAGAGAGATTAAATTTAACAGTTTGAAAAGGATTCAAAGAAGATTTGTACCGGTAATCTTTGTTTGTGTATCAGAATCTCTTTTATATTTAATCACAATGTGATTCCAGAAAAAAAAAACCTGACCATGATAATGTTGAAATTGATATTTTGCGAAAATGATAGAAGTGTCTCTAATACACACAGTCCTAGAAAGCATTTAAAGTGATACTATGTCTTAGAATGAACATAAAATTTAAGTTCTTGAAAAGGTCAATATTAGTCTATATTCATCAGTTAGCTTACCTGGTGTCATAAAGTTACAACAGAATCCCTGGAAAATCTGGAAAATTCATAAAAGTAAGTAATTATTAAAAAACGCTTAATTTTGATATTAAGCGTTTTCAATAGTTAATTGCATAATTACTAAGTTTTTTGGATTTATCGAATTATATAAGGATACCTATTTATGACACCAGGTATATCTACTGGCTCTTATTCGCCAAGTTTAAAATTCTTCAATTTTATGTTAATTCTAAGACGTATCACTTTAAAAATAAAACGGAGGAATTGAAATGCACAGAAATTGATATAATTTGAAAAGGACACTATGATGACCTTATTTGACCTTGAAAAGATCAATCTGATATGTGATTTTTTAATTAGGCAATTCTTAAAGACTGGTCAATTAATGTATGGCTTCTTAAAAGACTCTCTTTTTAGCTGTAGTAGTTTTGATTAACAACATGAAGAATTATTGAAGGATAACTTCAAAATATAAAAATTATGGATGCTATAATTTTGACAAATATCTATATTAATCTATATAAATAGCCAACAAATCAATTTCTTGTTGAAGATCAAGCCAGTTAACAATGAAGTCCCAGATAAGAAAAAATATAAGTGTTCATAAAATTGAAAAACTAAAATGTTATGTATAAAATAAAATTTTAGAGAAAGTGCTAAGACTCATTTGTTTTTTTGTTTTTTGAAAAAAAAGAAAAATATTAATGAAATAAGGGGAGAAACTCCAGCCCTCAAGTCTTTGGTCAGTGTATCAAGGGGTGACCAGTGAGCTAAACTTACTATTTGTTAAGACGTTTAAACTTTGACATTTTATGATATCTTTTTTCTCTCCATTACCAAAATAAACCTTACACCACATGCTTCGGAGTTCCTTAAGTCCCACGAGTTCCATATGTCCCACGCGTCGATGCTATTATGTGATGTGGAAACTGGGCTTTGGCACTTTTATACCCAATCTAATTTGCACTGTTTGCTTTAGTACAACATGTACACTGAGCTAGATTTCCTATATGAATAGGCTTACTAGAATAAAAAATATTATAGATGTAATTTCACCAGGACAGTGATTTCATGTCCCATGGATTATATAAGAAATAAAATTCTGCCAGAACAATGGATGAAGATTTATAAATGACATCCAAAGCTTTAACAGTTAAACAGTATGTTAATAGCTAAAAGTTGAAACTCTGATTGGCTGCTACACTTAGCTTTGAAAAGTTTTGGATGGATAAGCTTATGTTTTCTTCTTCATTTAAATTAGGTTTGCTCTGAAGTAAGATTTGACCAATTTGACTATTTTTTTTTTTAAAAGTAGCAGATAATGTATAGAAGTAGTTGTAGTAGTAATGTAGTTCTATTACCCTTAATGAAAAACAATGAAACAATGTGTATGAAAATGTAGGCCTATATATCTTTGTATAAAAGGGAGAGTGGTTTCTCAACAATTTTTGCTTTTTTAAATCGGCTTATGTCGATAAATGAGCTAAGTTTCTGTAAAAATTTGGGTCATTTTCAGATTCTGAAAACTTTATTTTTCTACACTTACACACTAAATTCTATCACTTCTATAGTCTTATAATGGATTTGATCATGAAGATAAAGATTAATTTCCTTTAAAGCTATTTTATAGTAAAAACTAGATGTTAATATACAGGCTGTTACGAAAGTCAATTGTCAACAGATATCATTAACTGAAGGATTGTAATTTAATATGAATGATAACGAATTCTCAAGGATCAGTTGTTCTGCTAATGTTTTCAAATCTGTTTAAGCTACAATAATAATACATTGTTAACATTATCTTAAAGTGTATTGATTTTTATATTGAAGTCAGATCCACTGGAAGAGTTGCACATGTTTTGGTTAAAGTTGGCTATAAATTGAACACAAAATAAGTTTTACAACAGTACAAACTGATAAATGGAGACTTTCTTACCTTTATACAGTACTTTCTTTTCCCAAAGTTAAATAATATCACAGTAAAGAACCTTTCATACATAATATAAAATTTATTTTTACATATGAGGTGTAATTGACTTACTTTCATGACAATAATTCTGCCTCTGAAGACTAATGGGAGATAACCCATGGCTTGGCACAACACATTGAACTGCTGCAGAGAGATGATTGTGGCCTGCATTTTTTTTTTTGCTATTATAACAGTACACATACATATGTGCAACAAAAGAATTGGGCATTGACAAGGCCTTGTGGAGAGGAGAATTTAATTTTGTCCCTTTTCAGTAATTGCCACTAAATCTGTATTTGTATGGACTATAATTTCTATTGTACAGTGAATATTTTTTATTGATAAATATTCATTGAGGCATGCATTGAATTCCAAATGTACCAATGCATACAAATAGAAATAAATTGAGATAAATACTAGTTGTAGGTTGAGTTAAAGCATCTTGACAATGGTCAAGGTATTATGAGCTTAATCTTATACCTTGAGCAACTTGTATCATAGAATGAAACTTGGTGGATATAAGGACTTCAAAAGAGACATATTTGCTCTTGTGTGTTCCTGTGACACCTTTTATTTTAACAATATTTTCTCCAGTAAATTTTTATGCCACTTAATAGGCTTAAAGATAGAATAGATCTCATTTACCTAGTATTGTCTATAGACTTTTAATAAGAATATTCTATAACTCTGTAGTTTTAGCTCACTAATTTGTTGATTCGAAAAGTAACAGACATGTCTTAAATACTTTGTGGGGGAAGTACCATATTCCTGCTTTTACACTTCAAACATACTAGAGGACACAAAAGACAATCTTTGACAAACCTTGCTAGTGATAGATTGTCAGACAATCCAAACGGTGAAAATATAAACAAGACTGCTAAATGTTAATTTGCCTGGCAATTATCTTTCAATATGTGGCAGTTGAAGCCATTAATTTTTGAATAGTGGAAAACATTGAATTATACTTATTATTGTCTGTAATCTACTTTCAGTTTTGAAGATGAGTGTCATCATCAGATTACAAGGCTTACCATGGACAGCCAGTTCATTAGATATCAGAAATTTTTTCCAGGGATTGAGCATCCCTCCTGGTGGAGTTCATATTATTGGTGGAAACAAAGGTGAAGCCTTCATAGCCTTTTCAACAGATGAAGATGCAAGGAAAGCCATGATGTTCAATTTCACGCCTTTGAATGGAAGCGTTATGCAGCTATTTCTCAGTAGTAAATCAGAGATGCAAACAGTTATAGAACAAGCTCAAACCCCATCTGATCAACCAACTACTACCAATCAAGCATACAATCCATCGGCTGACAATAATGAATATAACCCACGAGATAGAGGATCTTTTAGACAGGAAAACAACTACAACAATTTTAATCAGCAAGATTTTGCAAATATGAATAGTAGAAATGATCAATACCCTCAGACTGGAAGATATGATGACACATCTAATAATGGATCTTACGGTAGAAATATTTACAATCAAAATGAGCAAGGCTTTGACACCAGTCACCAACAGTCTTTTGATAATCAGGGCCACTTGAGCTATCAAGACCAGCGAGGTGGATATAACATGAGACAAGGATACATGGGTTTTGAAAAAGATCAGTCACTACCTTATTCTGCTGGTTTGGAAAATGAGCAACATCAAAATTTTAGAAACTCTCCTCTACTAACAAAACCCGTAGATGCAAATCCACAATACCCTGTTCCCACTTCCTTGTATCAAGATCCCTCTATGGTAATAAAGCCATTTAAACCAGATGTAGAAATCATTTTATCTTCTTCAGGCAAGGAATCTTCACCGAAAGTGGACAAAGATCGTTCAAGTAGAGAGCGAAGCAGTAAATCTGATCGATCTGAAAGAGATTCTGATAGACGCAGTGATAGAGATCGTAGTGGTCGAGACAGAGATAGGGACAGGGAACGTGACAGGGATCAGAAGATAGAGATAGAAGTCGAGGATCCAGAAGTGATAGATCAGATAGAGATAGGTCTGACAGAAGTGACAGGTCAGAAAGAAGCAGATGGAGTGACCGGTCAGATCGTGATAGAGATAGAGGTCGGGAAATTGAGGGAAAATCACCAAGAGATCGCTCTGATGTGAGGCGACCTAGAGATGGAGAGAGAGCTGATGACAAAAGAGTTAGTGACAGTGATAAAAATGAGGTTAAAACTGGTTTTGGACGGACTGACAAAAATGAGCCTGGCAATATGGCCAATAATAAACCAAATATTGAGGGCTTGATGCAATCACCAGCATTTGGTGGATTCAACAGTCAAGACCAAACAATATTTACAGGAAATGAAAGACCTAAACCCTTAATGCCTTTACCTGGGAATTTTAATACTAGACTAGGGGATAAGAATCCAGTTATGAACCGATTTGGTGTACCCCAGGACCCAGAAAGAGATCCGGATTATAGATCAAAACAAATGATGAAACCCAAAGATGCTCATGATTCATGGAATACTCTGATAGATGCAGATTTTCGGACCTTAGATAAAAGTCAAGAAGATTTTGATTCAAGAGGAGAGCATTTTTCAGAAGATCAAACATCAAACAAAGGGCTGCTTGGTGATGCTCCGGTTGGACACTCATTCCCAGGTCCAGGACATCAAGAATTTCTTGGTGATGATAGATATGTTAGAAACCCAAATTTCAATAGAAACAATCCAGGATTTAACCCAGAAAATCCTGGCAGGTTTAGAGATGATTTTCCTAATAACAGGAATGTACAGGGATTCAATAGAGATGGAACAACCTTTGATAATTTAAACTTACCTGCTGTTGGAGGTCGAGACGGTCAGGGTCCAAGAAACAATCAAGGTTTTGTTAGTAATGAAGGGCCACCATTCAACAAGCGAGATGGACCTGCAGTAGGGTTTGGCAACAGAGAAGGTGCTGGACCAGGATTGTTGAATAGAGAGGTACCAGGACCAGCATATGGTAATAGAGAAGGATATGGCCTTGGTAACAATGAATCTTCAGGATTTGGAAATAGAGATGGGCCTAGGCCTGGAGTTGGACCAGGATTTGGAATTGGCGACGAAGCTGGGTTTGGAAATAGAGGATTTATTAATAGAGATAGACCAGGATTTGGTAACAGAGAAGGGCCTGGTTATGGAAATAGAGAAGAACAGGGGTTTGGCAATAGAGAAGGGCCGGGCTTTGGAAATAAGGAAGGACCAGGCTTTGGAAACAGGGAAGGGCCAGGCTTTGGAAACAGGGAAGGGCCAGGTTTTGGAAACAGGGAAGGACCAGGCTTTGGAAACAGGGAAGGGCCAGGTTTTGGAAACAGGGAAGGACCAGGTTTTGGAAACAGGGAAGGTCCCGGTTTTGGTAATAGGGAAGGACCAGGCTTTGGTAATAGGGAAGGGCCAGGCTTTGGAAATAGGGAAGGACCTGGTTTTGGAAATAGGGAAGGACCAGGCTTTGGAAATAGGGAAGGACCAGGCTTTGGAAAGAGAGAAGGTCCAGGCTATGGCAATGAGGAACAAATAAGATTTGGTAATAGAGAAGGACCTGGAGTTGGAAATCGAGAAGGACCAGGATATGGAAACAGGGAAGGACCAGGATTCAGAAACAGAGGACCTGGGTTTGGTAATAGAGAAGAATCTGGATTTGGCAACAGAGATGGACCCAGTTTTGGGAATAGAGGAGGACCAGGGTTGGGAAATAGAGAAAGACCAGCATTTGGTGATAGAGAAGGACCAGGCTTTGGAAACAGAACTGGGCCTGGATTTCGAAACAGAGAAGGACTTGTTTTTGAAAATAGAGATGGACCTGGATTTGATCAGAGAGCTGGTCCAGGATTTGGCAACAGAGAAGGGTCAGCTCCTAGGTCTGGAAATCAAGATAATGGTCCAGGTTTTAATCCTTGTGATGGGCCACGATTTGGAAGCCGGAATCGTGATGGACAAGGAATACAAGCTGGTGATGCTGGAGCCTCAGAAAATACAGATCAAAATTTTGCACGACGAGGAGGTCCATCACTGATGGGAGATGCTCCAATCCCTGATAGTTTAAATAGACCAGGACCTGGTTTTAACAGAGATGACCCTGGAATTAACAGGAATATTCATGGATCAAATTTTTCAAGAGAAAGTTTGATGAATCTGAATCCAAATGGAGATGGATCTACTGGCATTCTTGGAGCCTCACCAAAATTTGCTAATGCCCCAAATAAGGAAGGATTTGGTTTAATGGGTCCAGGTCCAGGACCTGTTGGATTGATGGATATGGATCAAAGAGGAATGATTGGGATTCCTGGTAGAGATGTTCCACCTCACAGAAGACTGGGAAATAAGCAATCAATTGAACCAGTTACAAATCCAACAGATGCTTTAGTCAAACCAGAAATGCAGATTTATGCTCACTTGAAAAATCTTCCGTATTCAGCAACTTTACGTGAAATCAGAAATTTTTTTCAAGGATCTGAAATCAGTATGGATGGCATTAAACTTTTAGTTGATGATAAGGGTCGGAAAATTGGAACTGGCTATATTGAATTTAAAACAGAAGAAGATTTAGAAAAAGCTCTCAAAAAATTTGGTGAATTTTTTGAAAGTAGAAGAATGATTATTACCAAATGTTCTCAGTCTGAATTCTTGAGTGCTGTAGATGGAGTTGCACCAGTTGCTAAGCGCCCCAGATGGGAGGGTGAAGGACATCCCCCAATTAATGAACCAAAATTCTTGGTCTATATGAAAGGATTTCCAAAACATACTGTGAAGGAAGATATTTGGAAATTCTTTGTCAACTGTCGAATTGCTGATAATGGAAATGGTATCTATTTCGATCATGATGGGACTGGTAAATTAGTTGGCTTGGCTTTTATTGAATTTGAAAATCACAGAGCCATGCAGAATGCTTTGCAATTTAATGGAACGATGATTGGACCCCATCGAATAGAAGTTGGTCCAAGTCACCCTGATGAACTTAGTGCAATGTTTCGTGCTCATAAAAGTCGAGAAATGGAAGCTGCAAGCAAGAGAGACACTTCTCGTGATAGCCATGATAGAGAGAAAGCAAATGACAAAAACAGGAGTAATTCAAATTTGAAAGATTCCAAGGTAGATGTGAAAAATGAAAACAAAACAAAGAAAGAAGATATCAAGAGTGGAGATACCTGTGTCATATTGAAAAACTTACCAAGGCAAATCAAACAGAAAGAAATAGAAGATTTTTTCCGTGGTATAAAGATTTTAGACAACAGTATAAAGTTTGTCTGCAATGAGAAAGGGGACACAACTGATGTTGGATATGTTGAATTCAAGTCTACTGAAGATTGTAGAAATGCTATCAAGAAGTCTGGAAGCAAGATAGGACATAATGCTCTTAAAGTCGAATCACTGAGTAAATCATCTTATAATGATAAAGTTAGAGATTTAGTAAAGAAGCCAATGGCATCACCAATTAAGAAGGAAACTAAAGAAGAAATAAAGAAAGACAGTGATCCAGAAGTTACTAGTTCAGAAGAAACACCAGTAGCCAAGTCAATTCCTGCAGGAGTATTGAGACAGCATTGGTTTTATCTTCGCTGTAAGAATTTTCCAGAGACTGTAACTATTGGAGAGATGTTGAAGTTCTTTAGTGGTTATGATCCAATTCCAGAATCTATTCGTCTACACTATTCATCAGATGGTAAACCAACTGGTAATGCTGTCATTGGTTTCCCAACAAAAGATATTTCTGAAAGTGCCCTGAAGGCTTTAAATAATCAGATGTGCAGAAATAATAAAGTTGAAATTTTCTTAGCTTAAATGGGTAAGTTTTGTGTTCAAATTTGTAGTCAATTTGTATGAGTAGTAGTCGAACTGATGTAATTGCTATAATTGCATCTGTCATATGTAGCAAGACTTTATCAAGCTGATTACATTACATAAGCTCTTTGATATCTTGTTACGCTCTTTGTCGAACATGTTTATGTGCTATTTTGAATTTAGACTATGTATGCAAAGTTCTGTCTGCTACTTTCTGATAAATAAATGATAACGCCATACAAAGCATTGGTTTAACAGTTTGAATATCTAAGAATCATTCCCAGAATATCAAACTATAGATTCTTTCTATAGTATTTTAATGAGAATGTCCACATTATCCATAGGATACATAAGTGAAATACTGTCAATAATTTTTGTTTTGTTCCATGTTTACATAATTTAATTGAATAACCTCCAACTAAACATTTCATAAAATATTGACATTTCAGAAAGATGTAAGTATAAACTTGATTTTGGTAATGGTGGTATCAACCATGTAACAGTATTGGAAATATCTAGTAATGGTAGTATGTTGAGAGTTATGGTGATTCCAAATATTACTGACACTACCAAATCAGAGCAACAATACAAACATTTGGCATTATTAAATAGTGATATCAAGTTCAGAATCAGATACAATAATGGCGGTGTTACTGAGTTAAGATACTGTTATCCAATAATGATGGTGTTACTGAGATAAGATACTGTTATCCAATAATGGTGGTGTTACTGAGTTAAGATACTGTTATCCAATAATGGCGGTGTTACTGAGTTAAGTACTGTTATCCAATAATGGCGGTGTTACTGAGTTAAGTACTGTTATCCAATAATGATGGTGTTACTGAGTTAAGATACTGTTATCCAATAATGATGGTGTTACTGAGATAAGATACTGTTATCCAATAATGGCGGTGTTACTGAGTTAAGTACTGTTATCCAATAATGATGGTGTTACTGAGATAAGATACTGTTTTCAAATAAAATGTTGTTACCAAATAATGGTGGTATACCTAGTAATGGTGGTGTTTCAAAGTTATGATGCTGTTATCAAGTAATGGTTGTATATCAAATAATGGTTGTGTTACCAAGTAAAGATGAAGTTACCAATAATGGTGGTATACCAAATTATGGTCGTGCAACTGCATTATTATGGTAAACCAAATAATGGTGGTGTTACCAAGCTTAAATGTAATCAAATTATGGTGGTACATGTATACCGAAAAAACCTAGATTCATCTTTCACAAGACAATTGAACAGGAATTGAAATAACAAATCATGTAATAAAAGGAGAAAGTGCTAACAAAATTATTTTATCTTTGGTGTATGAATGAAGAGTGATTGGAATATGAAAGTGTTGCGCGATTATAAACATAATCACTTGATGTATATAATTTTATTCTATGGTTACTACATATATTGATGCAATTAAGAGCATATCTTGAGCATTGTTATTTCAATCATGAAATCCTGTTCTTATCATATACCAGAAGTATGAAACGTGAAGTATGAGTGGGATTCTGGAATTGACAGAGCGCCTGTGACAAAATGAATAAGTAACTGTATGTACTGCAATGAGGATGTCAAGTCTACTTGTACATTAATAGCTGATCTGATAGCTGTCTACCTTGTTTAAGCCTGTTGTTGTCAGCTTGTCTGGAATTGTGCTTCATGACATGGGAAGTTACTTGTACTTGATGTTACATAGGACTATGAAAGTATTCCCTAACTTTCAGTTGAAAGAAGATCTTAATTCATTGAAAATGATATTATATCATTATATAATCATGTTCATAAATTTCAGCAATTGAAATAGAAGTAGCTCTTTCAGTTATTCTTTGCTTCATATAGGATTTGTAAAATATGATTTGTCGTTTATTCTTTATACTTGAAATATGTTCAATGCTTCATTCGTTTTCAGACAGTACTTATAGTTATCATGTTGTATAAATTCACTGTTATTCATTTCACTGTAATAAGAACTAAATTTAATGATTTTCATTTTATTAAGAAAAAATAAAATTCCTCATCTCGTCTTCAAATGGTTATCATCTCCATTATTCCCATAAATTGCAAAACTTTTGATGGAAAATACTATGTACCCATAACTGATTGTAGTATAGCATTCAGTCCACTGAAATTCTACTATCAGGCGTGCCTGTTATTGGCACTTGCCTGTTTTACAAACTAGGAAAACTTAACTACCTTATCTGATCGTTAAATGTAACATGATGATCGTTAAAAGGCGGCAGAACCCTCTCCCAAAAAACATCTGTAACCTGTTCGACACTGAGCATTCATTTACCAGCGATCGCAAATGGTAACTTCTTTACGAAATCCGCAAATACACAGCAACTTTTTATAGCAATATCTGATTCTCGTAGCTACCACTTGAACAACCTGAACCTCCAGTTGAACCTCCAACGACGACCTCTGGTTTCACCATAGTACCATACCCAATAGGCCTACAAGTGATGTCCACTTGTTATAAAGGCTCTCAAACAACCTTCAGAGTTGCTCCTTGTTTTCTAGAGTGAACCTTCCCTATATTTTCACAGAAAGACCTTGCGGGTTGCTCTAATAATGCGTCATTCATAGGCCAAGCAAGGCTATTGATGCAAGGCGGACCCTTGCATTTGTTGACCTACACTAACTTCAGACGGATCTATATGCTGAGCAAACGAATATTTGATATTTCTCATTAAATGATGTATATATGCATAGGCTACAAATAAGTCATACCAAATTTCAAAAGAAACGCATGACACCACCAGATTGGATTACATGTTCTTCCTAAGAAGTGAAGAAAGGAAAAAATGGATACATTTCCCGCCAAATTTAAGAAATAAACCAATCGGAGACAAGTAACATCTTGACGACGTCAGATGACCATATTCAGATAATGTGATGTCATCCATCATTTAATCTGGTATAAATATAACATTTAGCTAAATGATACACATATTATAATCGAATATGAAACAAAAAGCCTATATTCTACAGATTGACAAGGTACATTTTCCTTGATATTCGCTGACTTTTTGACCTGGTCGACCTTGACAAAATAAAGTGTCTGGTTATTCTGGACTACAAAGGTTGGTGATATTTGCATCATTAAGAAACCACTACACTTTTGTTTATACTTTTTCTTTCTTGTACAATGAATACAGCTATCAATGTTCCAAATCTTCATGGGGAATATTCTAAAATTAATCAGAAAGGTCACATAGATATTCTTTTTTATGATCTATAAGATTCTATTAGATGATCTCAGACTAATGCGTCGTTATTGCGTAGTATTTATCAATCGTGCGAAGGAAAACAAGAAATCGATAAATTATTAGCACAGACGTGATAAAAAAGCTTCTAAATTGTAATCTGTCCATTTACAGCTTTTGAATTGTGTGAGAGATGTCCAGAAATTATCGGATAGTCTAAGAACACAGCTTAAAAGATAAAGTAAGTTTTGGGCTGTATTAAATTGATGAAATATCTGTCTCCGTTGTTAACAATGACTGACTTCAGACCACTATTATTATTAGTTACAAGTATAAGGTTTTATAAGAGAAACTCTTTTATAGAAGCACTGGCCTAGGTCACAGGTAGGGACTGTGGATTTCAGCATTGGAATAAATCGATTTGATAGATAATTATCTACTTCTGGAGAGATTTACAAGATAAACAAATAAATCAGATATGCAAGTATAAAGTAGAACTCATCGTCTCATGTCATAGATATAAGTGGGTATCAGGTATCAAGGTAGGCCCTAACTATAATAATTGAAGGCTTACTATACAATTTTCCTGTATCAATTTTATATGATTGAAAGTCCCTGTTCTTAGCCAAAAGTATATGTGGAGCATTCTGTTTATTAGACAGTGCCATTGATGCAAAGATCTGTAACCTAGAACTGGAATTGTACAGCATTTTGAGCTATAGCCTATAAATCAAATGGTATTTTTACAATTTACCACTATTTTCCTTAAAAGCATGATCAGAACAGAACTTTCTATTTTCTTGACATGTTAGTTGAAGTTTACTCATTTTGTTATTGTCAATACCGGTATTTTCTTGTGATGCTAGAACGTAGGAGTAATATTATGAAACTTTGTATTCATGGATGTGGCCATAATCAATGACCTTTGTTCAAATTATAAGCCAACCGAACAAGTTAAGAGCCCTTGATACTGGAGAAATTCAGTAGTGACCCACTGCTCCTATGTTACACTTATCTTCTTACTTGTTGGACATGATTACTTCTTATGCTATCAACTATAATGTAAAAATCTATACTCTTTTATTTACAGTAGAATTCAACATCATGGATATAAGGTGAATTAATTTTTTAGTACCACTTCACTTAAAAAGTTAAGCATTAAATTCATCTCAAGATGAGTACATCACCTAGGACAGCATCATTTTATATCAGTGATGAAGCTGAAAGTGGTACACCTAATGAAATCCTGGTAAGTAAGATTAAGGAATAAAATTGTTGAATTAATAGATTTGCCTGAGCACTAATAGAAATTATAAATAACAAGATCCTGTTGTGTTCTCTTATAGCCACAGTAATAAAGGTACATAGACAGCTTTCGATGTGCATAATTTAATAATTAAAGCGAGACAAGTGCAAAGTAGAAGTTTGGTCCATTAGCTCCAACCTTTTGCTATGTGAGGAATCTTTAGATTGTTTGGCAGAACTGACATTTTTTTTAGTTGGAACTCATTTTCTGTTTTTTTTTTTTTCAGGATTGTGAATTCCTTGACAGGAAAATTATTGTTGGTATTTGTGCTATGGCTAAAAAGTCACGATCAAAGCCAATGAAAGAAATATTACAGCGTTTGCTTCAACATTTTGAAAGATTGGAAATTTTGATATTTGATGAAGACGTAATTCTGAGTGAACCTGTTGAAAAATGGCCGATAGTAGATGCTTTGATATCCTTCTTCTCTCATGGTTTTCCACTAGATAAAGCTATACAATATAGCAATCTTAGAAAACCTTATGTTATAAATGACTTGGAAATGCAACATGTTCTAAAGGACAGGTAATTATGTATATAATTTACATAAAATATTGTAAGGGGCTGACATGGAAAAAGCGTCTAGATGGAAGGGACAATAAACTGAGGCCCTGTGTGCTACAGGCTGTGTATCCCTTGTCAGTTGGAAATTGAAAAAGAGCAGGCTAATGCCGCTGTCCTGGCAAAATTTCACTCATTGTACCCTGCATTATTATTTTTGATGTCTGAACTGTGTATGTGTATATCAAACATTATCTGCTGTTTACAATAGATATTTCTTTCCAATACCATTCATATGATATCTTATGAAAGGATATTTTTTAGATACGGCTGTAAGCTTTATAAACCCTAGAATCTTAATATAATAATATTTGATGGTGACAGACTTTCAGACTAAGAGTGATAAACTTGTTATTACAATTCCTCTTTTATATACAGCATGAATATTGAAAATAAATCTTGGATTCTTGCAAAGTGTATTAGAATTTTTGTCGAAGTTATCATTTAAAACATTGTGACATCACAGCCTTATATTATAATTTGTTAAACTTTCAGACGTGAAGTGTATAAAATATTACAAAATGAAGGAATTCCTCATCCTCGATATGCTGTATTAGAACGTGATCTGGGGTCCTCAGAATCTAATTTTCAAGAAACTGATGATGCTATTGAAGTTAATGGTGTGCTGTTTCAAAAGCCCTTCGTGGAGAAGCCAGTAGATGCTGAAGATCACAATGTGTACATATTCTTCCCAGTACAGGCTGGTGGAGGCAGTACAAGATTATTTAGAAAGGTTCGACTAAAAAGCCATTCATATCTCTGCCAATCTGCTAGGGTAAAATTTCTCAATGTTTTTGAAAATTTGGGATGGATTTGGTTTTTTTTTAATTTTTACTTCTTCAAAATCTTTCAATAAGTGTCGCTTTTTTTGATCTTTAAGAAACAGTGAGTTAATTTTACTTACCGTTGGTCATCTTTTTTCTCTCTGAACTTTTCACTGTCAAATCTTTTCATGCATAAGCTTATTTCTTTCTTTCTTCCACTCATTCTTTACAACAGTGGTTTTAATACTAAAATATATATCCACTAGGTAAAGGATAGAAGTAGTATATATGGTCCACACAGTCGAGTAAGAAAAGTTGGTTCTTATATTTATGAAGATTTTATGCCAACTGATGGTACTGATGTGAAGGTAGGTCATTAACTATAACTTGGACTACATGAGGGTTAAAAAAATACTGAAAAAAAAAAAACAGTTTTCACAGCTTCACAGTGTATCGATAATTATCCTTGATTTTGAAAATTACATTAATGATTCGCCTTTTTCCTTGATACTGAAGAACAGTTAGGATTGGATAATCAAACAGTATCTGTACTCTGTCGTTCCTATTATAGACCTTATTAACAAAAAAACAATCCTTTTCTGTATCAGAGGAAAAAATTGTGAAAAAAAAAAAAAAAAAGAAATCCCTAGTTTGAGGAATATTTGAAGGAATTTTCGTACAATTCTGGCACTTCTGGAGACTCTTTACAAACATATTCAAAGCCCGAATCAACCTAAAAAGAATAGCCTCTAATAACATAATAGCTTGTAGCGGCTTATCAAACAGAAGGTGAAGTATTTGATTGGTTTTTTGATTTATAGGTGTATACAGTAGGACAAGATTATGCCCATGCTGAAGCCAGAAAATCACCAGCATTAGATGGGAAAGTAGAACGTGATCAAGAAGGAAAAGAAATCAGATATCCTGTGTTATTAAGTGCTAAAGAAAAACTGATTGCTAAAAAAGTCTGTATGGCATTCAAGGTAAACTTCCCATTGTGGTCTTGTGATAGTTTAAAAGTATAAGCAACTAGGGATCACAGGGATATAATGATAGATCCATATAACTTTTAGAATAATACTATCCTCTTACTCAGTAAATCAATTTTCACTCTTTGTTTTTTTGATTATATTTTTGAATATATACAGAATGGAATATTATATGTTTTAACAGAGTTCCAGCCAAAATTTGGGATTGGGAATATGTAAACTTAAAAATTTGTAACAAGTTTATATATTACTATAAAACTCTTCTTGTGAAGAGGTCTGGTAAATATATGCTGTATAAAAGAAGGGAGAACACTCTGTGATATCTTTATAACTTTTATCTTTTGGGACTCAAATATATGCTGCGTTCGATATCTGCTGTTAAAATAGTGTTTATGACTTTCTCTCAAATCGGAAACTCACATGCGTAAATTCATAACATTAACTCTGTTAACATGGTAATCACAAGAAGTATCAAACGAGGTATTAGTCTTATTGTTAATTTTTTATAGCCCAATATGAACAGCTAGTCCATATTTTAATTTGAGATATATTTTATTGCAGCAAAATGTTTGTGGTTTTGATCTATTACGAACTGGGGGACAGTCCTATGTATGTGATGTGAATGGATTTAGTTTTGTGAAAACATCAGGAAAATATTATGATGACAGTGCTAAAATACTAGGTACTATGATAATGAGAGAAGTAGCACCACAATTACAGCTACCCTGGGTGCTAGGATGTGCTCCTGAAGATTTACCAGTAGTACCAACAGCATCTGGTTCCATGTAAGTTCCATTTTCATTACCTGTTTAGTTTGGTAAACTGTTATGTTTTTATGTTTCCTTAACATTAAAGAAAACATCAACTCTTACACTCAGAACATGGTTGATTATAATCAAATACATAACATGAAAATTATTGTCCATCTGTTGTGTCAATATATTATTATTACTCTCTAATGAATCCTATCAAAGTTAAACTCAAAATTGCAAAAAAATCTTTTTGAATCTTGTATGTTGTAGATATATTTGAGGGCACAATTCATATTGATATAAAAATGTCTGAAACTGTTAATTAACTTGATAATCAGCATGGATGGTGGCCTTATTTTATCTTAAAATATTAAATCAGTTTTCCCTTAGTAAAAACAGTGTAAATTACATAGCCTTACTTAAGAGTCAATTGCATTACATGACCACTCTTGGTTTTCTTTTGATGTCAATGTGAAATGAAATGAAAAAATTCAACTACATTAGCCTACTTTATTTCGATTACAAACTATCGAGGGATCATTAGCCTGCAAAGTCTGTAGCAATAATGGCCCCTTCTTATTATTATTAATTTATTTTATCCGAACTACGTTTATGTCCATGTCAGATCCGGTTACTTGCATCACTGATAAATAAATGATCTTCACATATGAAGTGATATAGATAGTATATTTTGATGCAATGATCAGTTAGTAAATGGTTGCTGTGGGTTCAATGACATTGATCAAGTCACTCACTCATCATAATGCCAGTCTACCCAGCAGTAATGAACGGATAATCAGGGAAAGATCAATGCCATGAGATTTGGTCAAGGACCAGCTAGTAGAAAGGATTCTTAGTTGTGAACTTAAGTTGTTATCCTTGTAAAATATAGTAGTTTCTTTCTTGAATTTGCCTTCCAAAAGTGCAATGTTTGATAATCGATGATCCATTATGCATTATCTGCTGAACTTGTTCATTTGATGTCTTTTCTTTGTGTTGGTAGGTGCAATAGGTTGGGATATAATACCAACCCTTTAAGTATACCTTAGTATTAATACAGCAACTAAACTAAATTTCTGCTTTGTTTTGTTTTTTTGAGAATACTATTCTCATCTCAATTTAACATTGGAGTTATGGGCCTTTATTACAACCAATGGCAAACAGATGTAACACTTGATATCATTTAGTCATTATGCCAAGTATATTTTTTGTTGCTGATATCTTCAAGAAATCTCATAATATTACACAATATATTGGCATTACTACATGCATCACAGTAGGATTCATTTTGATAACAGTTCAATGGTACTGATAGTTGTTGATATACTGATAACATCGTATTGCCTTTAAATACCAAGATTAGATAGATTAGGAAATGAGGTAAGGGTGCATGTTAAAGATACAAGATAACACATTTTGATACCAAGTGATTGTTGTTTAAGCCCCCCCCTGAACCACAATCAGAAGTTGCACTTGTGATCTTTCATCCACATTTTATACGCCCACATGAAATAGGGGTCGTATATTGCCGTCACCCATCTCGGTCGGTCCGTCCACAATTGCTCGTAAACACTCTACAAGGCACAATTCTTGACTGATTTCGACGAAACTTGGTATGGTTGTTTGTTATCACCCGAGGATGAACCTTATTGAAAATCAGAAAAATCGAAAAATATTTAGTATGAGTTATTGCCCTTGTTCTTGAATCGCTTGTAAACACTCTAGAAGGTGCAATTCTTGACGGATTTTGATGAAACTTGGTGTGAGTGTTTGTTATCACCCAAGGAAGAACCTTATTTAAAATCAGAAAAATTGAAAAATATTTAGTGTGAGTTATTGCCCTTGTTCTTAAAAACGCAATCAAATTTTAGCCTGTAAACGCCCAATTCTTGACAGATTTTGATGAAACTTGGTAATATTATTCAGTACCGCCTCAAAGAATTCAGCAGAAGTGTATGTCTGAAGGTTGAATATTTCATACTGACAAATATTTTTATGTAAAATCAAAGCTGCCAGTGGGCGTATATTACCTTGCCTGGCAAGCTATCTTTTTGCCTTTTTGACTTTGTTGGTGACATCCTTCCATTTGATTGGACATATGAATAGCAGTTCAGACTTTTACTCACTGCTTGGATGTAAAGTGATTACCATTTGCAGAAAATTAAATCACTATTCTGTTGAACAGCATGTTTTAGTTGAAGAGAAAGTAGGAACTTATTCTTAAAATATATATATATATATAAACAGTGCTGTTTTTTCGCCTGTTACTTAATTTTATTAAGTGAATTAAAAATGAGGTAAGGTTATGCTAAATTTATTCTTATTTCCATGATGGGTATTACTTTAAGCTCTGGAAATGAGCTCACGACTTGTGCTCCTTTTTTACAATATGTTAGCTTTTTATGTTCAATATATAAAGCCAAACGCATAAAACTATGAATGAAGGTATCCTCTAGAATTATGAAGTTTTAACTAACAAAAAAAGTGTAACCTTAACACAGTAACATTTACTCTGTACCATACTATTAGTTTGTTTATACTGATATTGGCAGAATACATATTAGTATCAATAAGAGTAGGTTTATAAATATATACATGCAGATGTGAAGCAGACTGCTTTCACCCAGCCAGGAATTAGGTTCAGTGTCATATTTTTTATCCCAGCTGAAACTGGCTATTCTTAAAAAGAAAATTAGATAATTAATGTAGGCACATAATATGTACCCTATTTGAGAAAAGAAAAGTTGATTAAATAAAATTCTGTAATACTTCCTGCAAAACAGGTGTTTTATATATTAATTAATCATCAGATTAACAGGATCTTTCTAAATACTGGCCAATCACTAGAGAGATGTGCTCAGAGGTAAAAAATATAGTTGATATGCTGACAGAATCTGTCTTTTTGCCTTGATAAATGTGAAGGAAAGAGTTTAAAGACACATAACAGAAACATAAAATTAGAACATCTTGTTGACATGCATTAAATTTTATATTTGGTATATTATTTTTAATTTGGTATATTAATACCAAGATATTTATACAGTAGAAAGCAGTTGATTTAAATATTTTGACAGCATATACTGAATGATTTATCCTTTTGCTTAGAATGCTATATTTAATATAATGCCAGTTTTATTTTTGGGTACTGAAAATATGAAATACATTTTAAGTTTGTGTGTGCAAACTTTCAATGTGATGTATATGTGCCTATGTGGGTGTCACTCAGAATATAATATTCTACAAACTCAGAGATCAAAAATCCATTCATGACTGAATTTTTGTATCCAGTCTTCTATCTGAAGGATTGTAGTGCAGATATTTTATTAAACAAAACATGGAAATAAGTAACATAAGGCAGAAAAGTATGGTACTTCTAATTATACTTAGTATTAGATCTAATTATATTAGTAGATTTAATAATAGCAGAAAAGTATAATTATATTAGAAAGTATAGTACTTTTAATTATATTAGAAAATATGGTACTTTTAATTATATTAGAAAGTATAGTACTTTTAATTATATTAGAAAATATGGTACTTTTAATTATATTAGAAAGTATAGTACTTTTAATTATATTAGAAAGTATGATACTTTTAATTATATTAGAAAGTATGATACTTTTAATTATATTAGAAAGTATGGTACTTTTAATTATATTAGAAAGTATGGTACTTTTAATTATATTAGAAAGTATGGTACTTTTAATTATATTAGAAAATATGGTATTTGCAATTATATTAGAAAATTTGGTACTTGCAATTATATTAGAAAGTATGATACTTTTAATTATGTTAGAAAGTATGGTACTTCTAATTATATTTGAAATACAAATGTAAAATAGTGTTAAAAAATTATGCTCAGGATCCATCACAGCTTATGATTAAGTGTTATAGTTTATTGAGACTTGTTTCAATGAAAGCAGTGGCCAAGATCACAGAGCAATAGATAAGTCTATTAATTATGTGAAAATTAGTTAGTCATTAGTATGATTTTATTTGAAGAGACACAACACACAAACACACGAACTCTGACATATAATATACTGAAATAAGTATTTCCTTAAATCTAAGAAATCGATTAATTTAGTATCATTCTTAACACTTGTATTTGAAAGGAAAGGATTTTTGGTTGCTTTAATAGGGGATAAGATTATAGTTAAAAGATTTAGCCGTTTAATAGCAAAGTGTAGTATATAAGGAATGTTAGTAATATTAGACATTGTCCCTACCAATGCATAATGTATGACCTAATTAACATATGTTGTGGTAGCTATCATATACTGTTGATAAAATATGACCCCCATAAGTGTAGCCACAACAGTTTATCATTAAATCATTAGTGATACAACTGACAGATTAGCATAGTCATTTCAAGTACATCACAGTATATCCATGCCCACATTTAAAAGCTGCTCCATTGATAAAGATATTATTCTTATTGAATAAATTTTTCATAATGATCTTGTTGCTAATGAGAAGCTTTGTCAAGAATATACCAAAGTGACCAAATCAGTATGCAGTGAATCCTGATAGGCCCTAGCTAATTGATCAGCTATTTTAACTTCCTGTTTGCACAGATTTTCACTTTCATAGCTGACTTATGATTTATGTGAATTTTAAAATGAAACTTCTGAACAATTGGCCAAATGTTTCATTGAGATATAGTTTAAAAGATGCAAATAATGGTCCTCTGATTAATAGTTAAATGTATTTTGATATCTTATTTATGTATGGTTGATATTAATGATATACAATCTTCAGGGTGATGAATAACAATTCAAATTTTTTGTGTAAATTTTTTTGGTAAAAATGTCAATTTCTGATGAATATGTAACAAACCTACATTTTCTTATAAATTAATAGTTTGACTTAGGGAATAGAATTAATAATTTGGTATATTCAGTAAGATATTTATACAGTAGAAAGCAGTTGATTTAGATATTTTGACAGCATATACTGAATGATTTATCCTTTTGCTTATATTTGAAATAATGCCATTTTTATTTTTGGGTACTAAAAATATAAAGTACATTTTAAGTTTGTGTGTGCAAACTTTCAATGTGATGTACCCCAACGAACTCCTTAAGAAAAAACTCCATGGTCATTTACGTTTATTTATTTACAAAATAACCAAATTCATTCAAACTTCTGATTTAAAGGGTTCCTTTGTCAGAGTAAGAAATATATTAATAATAAGTATAAGATTTTTGATATTTCTATAAGGTTGTTTTTCTAATATGATCAATTGGTGGTACAAGGTATATTTAGGTATTTTAGAAAAACATAAAGCTATGGAGCTATTTGGCCAGTAGATAATAACAATGTCAACATATATATATTGATAATGCTAATTATTCTATATTTAGACTGTATACAGTATATCAAGGTAATAATATCAAATAATAAGATGATAAATATATATCATTACAGTTGCTCATAAAATTTCTATCTTATCTATTAGTCCAGAACAACAGTCACTTCCGTAAACATTAATCCTAAACATATATTTAGTATACTTGCCCATTTGATATTTCCTTGACAGATATTTTAATGCATTAAATTATATAACTCACAAATATTTTTTTGTATAATTCATCATAACATGTTTTAGAAATGTGTTAACTATGACGGAAATGGGAGCACAATTGTCGAACTTCAAAGATGCCAGTGCTGTGGAAGCGCTAAGGCACTGGCCTACCCTGGAAGAGGTTCTCCACTGAGAAAATGTTTGAAAAGTAGAATTGATTTGGTGCATTCTGACACCTAGTTCAGAGAAAAACCATATGAAAATATAATATTTTAAATCATTTTAGAAATTTTTAAGGGGGCAAATACACCTCCTGTAGCTCCACTGGCCCTGTCACTGGTAAATAACTCATCTTTGATAAAAAATAAAATCTCTTTAATAACTTATAATTTTATGTGCCTCTTTAGTTCACAACCAACCTTCTTAAGTTCAGCTTTAATACAAACAGTGAGACTTAGTTATATAGGAGTGTGGGTTGGGCCATATTCAAGCTATAAATTCTTTAAAGTAAAAGTTACTCAAATTTCTCTGATAATGTTAAAGTGGTGGCAGTGAAAAATTAAGTCTAAGTTAGCAACTTAAGTCTGTTGTTCAACTATGATAGGGCAAAAATGAACGTAACCAAGCGGTTGTTACTTCACTTACAGTTTTAACTATATCTCAATTTCAAAACCTAAAGGTTTGTAAAGAGGAATTCTAAAAAATTAATGTGTACGGAAACACTATTAGCATCAATTTGCAGCATTCCAATTTTCAATCAGATGTTTGTGGTTCCTGCAATTCCACTAAAGCCAAGTGTTTGATGACATCACTAATCGCAAAGGGCTGTTTATGATTAAACATATTTTGCAAATAGTGATGTCATCAAACATTCAGTTGTAGTGAAATTGCAGGAACCACAGACTTGTGATTGAAACTCATGAAAATAAGAAATTGATGCTATCAGTGTCCAAGATTAAATTTAGAAAACCTCTTCACAATCCCCTTTAACTTTCCGTGGTAGAAATCTGTACTGTAAAGTATAACATAACAGAGTGTTTAATGTGAATGTTCATTTCATTTTAGCAGAGATAACAAATTAAACAACCTCATTTTATTATAGGTGACATTAAAATGCCTGATTAAAGTATAAGTGTAACATTGACAATGTTTAGCCTGCCCAATATAATTATTCTTCATTTATTTTTAATCTTTAGGAAAAATACAAGTAACCACTTTCCTTATGAGAAACTATCTTATGTAGATAAAGGAAGAAATTTCTCAACAACAGACCTCTATTTAGGGTCAGTCTATTTTGAGTGTAGAGAAATGTTGTTATGATTTGTTGTTATTATTGTTTATTATCAGGATGGAGTTAAGATGTGTAGTAGCTATAGTCAGACATGGAGACAGAACTCCAAAACAAAAAATGAAAATGGAAGTCAAACACAAAAAGTAAGTGATTTTAATTCATTTTAATTGACTGTTGTGTTCAAAATAATACATTTATAACTTATATGCCTTTACAAACATTGTTCTATGTGTAATATCACCTAGAAAACAACAATCTTATATTGGAATCAACATTTTTATTGTAAAGAATAGTTCAGTGCAATTTGTTGGATATCTTGTCACATTTAGATTGTTTTTTTTTCTGTTGTATCCATCCTTGCTTTGAAAAGTTGAGCAGAAGGACTGTTTCTTTTAATTTTTTCATTGCTTGTAATAAACATTTTTCGATCCTTTTTTGGCTGTAAATGTGTAAAAAATTGTGTTCAATATTCCTGTTATTATATTTATTCATGTCATTAAATTTTTACTTGTATCAAATTTCATGAAAATTCCTGGATTTAGGTTTCAGACATCAATTTATCAAAGTTAAAGATTTTTTGAGGCAAGGCAAAAGTTGAAAAACAAAAATTCCTGGAAATAGGAAACAGTAGTATATTCAGGAGAAGTGCCATGGGGCCATTACCCTTCCCTTAGGCCTGTGAAAGGTTTTATATTGAAGTGAAAATTAGGCCCTCTAAATGCTCAAAATTCATCTCAGGCCATCTTAACTCTGTTGGCTTCTGGGGGCCTCTGCAAGCCCATAGTCCCCTAGCCTCCTCTGGCTTTGAGCCTCACGTTTGAAAGACACTTCTTATTTTTATGCTCCCGCTGTGGAGCTTTTTCTAGATTATCTCCACACAAAACAAAAAAACTTAACCTCACCTTATAGCAAACTTTGTTAGATCAACAGCCATATTTAAATACATTAGATACACTTTGTCTTCACCATGTTTTAAACATACTTTTTCTTGCAGATTTTTTGATTTATTTGAGAAATATGGTGGAATGAAAAATGGACATCTAAAACTAAAGAAACCAAAACAACTTCAAGAAGTACTAGATGTTGTACGACATTTACTATCAAATAATCAACAACAAAAAGATCCTGAAGTTGAAGAAAAGAAAGTGAAATTTCAACAATTGAAACTTGTTTTAGAAATGTGAGTTGTTTTATTTTTATTGTTGAAACACCCATTGCCAGGTTTATATTATCTTGATAATGTCCTCACTTACATTATTATAAAATCATCAGCAAAACAATTTTGTTAACCAAAACTCACGTCCAAAGCACGACAGAATTGGCAACAAAAAATGTGTTGTGTTGCACTCTTCAAAGAAGAAGTACCATATTGTTGGTCATGTTATTAGTTCTGTCTTGCTGTTGTATAGAGTTCTGTCTTGCTGCCATATGATAGAAATATTTTAGCATTGAACTTGAATTGGAACTCAAATACCAATTTCGGGGTAGTACCTGTAATTCGTAAGTACTATGCACAAGTTATTTTTAAGAATGTTCTCTACTGAATTTTCTTATGAAACTTAATGCTAAATTTTACCGTAATGACCCAGATAAAAATGATTATGTTTGTCACATTTTCACCTCCTATATATTTAGATTGATCCTTTATTATTAATTAGCATTCTACTATCCTTCTATGAATTCCTTTCTTTTTATTTTCACCTTGGGAAACTTGAGGGTGTAGTTTTTAGTTTTAGAGGCTTTAGTCTGTTGGTAAAACTGTTGATATTGTAAATAAGTCAAGTATTACAGATTTTTGTTGATATATGGACATGAATTGATTTTTGGTCGCTTCTTGTTGTTAATCAATTCCGACTTTCAGATGATCTCAATGACATTTTTTGTTCAAAATCATGGTTTAATAGCAGGGATCCCAGACTTTCTCTATTTTTCTGGCCATTGGGCTCTTTTGGGGGGAATTAAAACCAGTACAAATTTGGTTTTTCGGGATGAAAATGAAAATAAAATGAAATGTATTAAGGTGCCTCAGCACCAAAATGGGCTATATAGCACCTGGTTTAAGGAATGAAAGATTTCTATATACATGTACATAGGTAATGTCTTTCAAATCATCTTAAGATGGTAAAATCTCACTCGACCCCATATGGCTGCCTGGGGCCCCAATTTTTTGTGCTGGGATCCCTGTAGTACATATACCATTGCTAATTTTTTCACTGGACAAAAAATTTGATGTTTCTGTTCAAAAGTCAAACGCATAATGATTTTGATTTAAAAACAATATTAGCCTACCTACATGAAACAATAATGAAGAGTTGATATCACACAATGAGTGTAAATTTAACAATAACAAAGAGATAAATTTCAGTGAAGAAGATGGTTTAGTGTATTGTGATAAGTGGTAAGATCTCAGGTGGCTGTATAATTCTAGTTGTACTAATATTTTATAATCCATGCCAAACAATCCTTACTTAATTACAGGTATGGTCATTTCTCAGGCATTAATCGCAAAGTGCAAATCAAGTATCAACCGCGAGGTTGTCCTAAACGATCATCCAGTGAGGAGGGTGTGTACAACACGACTGCTTTCATCTATTCAAAATGTCTGGCCATAGATTTATTTAGTTTCTTTCTCTTCCAGATGAAATTTCACTGTTTTTTTGGCCATCTTCCTTATTATACTTCATATTATAGCACCTTTTTCATTCTAATTTGGATTTTGGTAGACACTCTGTGGTTTACATTTTTCGTCTTAATATTAACATTTTGGCAAAAAACTAACTTTTTTAATGGTATTTTGTTATAAATTTGGGTATTTAATATGAAGTATGATTAGAAGATGTACGTAGAAAAGTGGTGGCAAGGCTAACATCGTATATATTTATGAATATATATATATATATATATGGGAAATGTTGAATTATTCCAGTAGCTTTATTTAGTAGCTTGCTGTTGTGATGGTTACTATGGTTACAAATTTTACTAACAAAAGGAACAATTTAATGCTTGGAATAGAATAGAATAGACAGTAGTTTGGTGATTTGTTTTCAGGCATTTTCATATTTTTGAGGGTATTTTCTTCTTTTTTAATTAACTTTAAGCTTTTTACGTAACCATGAAAGGCAAAATCTGAAAAGTTTTAATTATTTTAACAATTTTTTGTGATGGTAAAGGATAATTTTCAAAAAAAAAATAAAAAAAAAAAAAAACACAGATGGATACTGATGCTTATATTTTTGTAGTAAAGTATACATAAAAACAAATACAAATTCTATAGTGTTTTGTATTAGTATTTCACAACAGCAAGTTTTTGTGTTTTGTATATATACATGTAGCTGTAGTAACCTTTCCAATTCAGTCCTTTCTATTTGAATTTATCTATATCTGTATTATTTCTATTTACAAATATACAAACATACATTATGTTTTGTGTTTATTTGCACTTTTTCTGTCCTGCCTCACTAGGTATGAGTTTACTGGCATCCATCGAAAAGTTCAGTTGAAATATCAGCCGAATGGGAGGCCATTAGGATCGTCCAGTGAGGGTTTGTAGTTTCAAAACAATCTTGTCAACTTACAATTATCATTTTAAATTTTATGTATTAACTATTTTTATACCTATTATAGAAACAACAAATATACTTCTTCGTGTTTTGTGAACTTATTGAAAAATTAGACTGAAAAATTCAAATGTGCTTTGGAAATGAATTAGATATTTAATGTAATGATGCTTCTCAGAAGTTGATAAAAAAGTACTGTTTGACAGATTTAGTATCGCATGTTTCCTGAAATTGAGGAAGTTTTGAAGTGTATTTGTTTTAGTTTCATATATAATATTGTTATTATTGTTTGTATCAATAGATATACACCTTTTTTCATCATTTAGATATGGGCTTCAAGCAATCTTTCACCCAAATATATTCTTTGTTTAGAACCCCCCTCCTCAAATCTGTTGTGTGGCACCCAGTAGAAATCATTTCTCTCTAGCACCAATATCTTACTCTAAACTCTAAAACTCTGACTACATTTTCATGATTAATAATGATAATTTGAAGTGCAAGTACAATTATGATTTTTTTTTTAATTACTTTTGCACTGTGTGAATTAATTAATAATCAATTTAAGAATAAACAATTTTGAATGAGAAATAAATAGTAAGACGTATACTTATAGGATAAGGTTATGGGTTTTTTTGGTGTGTGTTCAATACCTTTGGTGATGGAATTAATTGCCCTCTATGACATTCTATGAAAACAGTTTTGATATTTGAGTGTATATCTAAGATACATTGATAAATACAAGATAAAGATTTATTTCACTAGAGTTGACAAGATTGTTAGCACACCTTTCCTGTTCTTGTTTGATTTCCTTTGCTGTATGTGTATTGAAGCTTTTTGACTGTTTGATAAATACAATTTGTAGAAAATCGCCTATTCAAATAAAGATTTGAAAATTAAATATATATAATACCATAATTTGTATAGAGAATTTGTATAGAGCTCGTTTATTGAGTGTTGCTTGGCGCTATGTTATGTTCAATTCCTCTCTGAAATAAGATATGAAAAAATTTTAAATAAAATGGAAAAATAAGCTAAGAATTAATAGAAATTCTCTTTTATGATAATAATTTTATAAAGTTAAAAATCTCTCACCCAACATGCTGCTACTGCTTATTCTTATCAGTTAATTTATGATGTAAATTATTTTTTGTCCAAACTTTTCAAGTATTTTTTGTTTATGTTTTTTTTTTCTACAGTATTTTGTTGCGATTCTGAAGTCAATGCTATTCTTTACTTTTAGATTTAAGTTCTTATAATTCTGATGCATGGCTAGAATGTAAGTTTTAACACTACTTTCATTGTATTGTTACTTACAGTGATATTTCCTTTATTCCATTCCCTCTCTGTCTAAAACTATCTGCTCTGTCTAAACATTTAGAAAATGTATCACTTTGAGATTTCACGCTCTTTCAAACTTTCCATGAAGTATATTGATAAGCCATAAATCACTCGAGGAAGAAATTTCAAGTATCCCGTGAATGTGTCTGGTGAATTAACTCAAAAAGGTTTCAACTAAGTTGCATGAAAAAATGTTGTGTGGATTGTTGCTTCTTTAATATTAAAGGCTGCAACTCAGGTTGGGGCAGAGTGGGAATGAAATAAGGATATATCAGTATCAATACATTGTGTGTAAGATATATGTAATAATAGATGTGTTATACTAATTCATTATCATGTGTTTTTATGTAAGAGCATGTTTGAAGTTTTGTAGTGAATTGAATAATCACTATACTAATAAATCATTATCATAAACTAATTTCTATTATCGGGATTGTAAAGAGGTTTTCTAAATTTGTATGTGTACCATGGACACTAATAGCATCAAATTGCACCATTCCAATTTTCAATCAGACATCTGTGATACATGCAATTCCACTAAGATAAAGTGCTTGATGACATCACTAATTACAAAGAGTCTAATGTGATTACTGATATCATCGAAGACTTATTCTTGAAAATTGGAATGGTGCAAATTGATGCTGTCAGTTTCCCTGATATATGTTTATAAAGCCACTTAACAATCCCTTTAATAACAAGAATTATGATAGAGTTAGTCTTAGGACTAAGTATTTTCAGTTGATATTTCATCAGTACATTTCAAAATTCTTAATATGATACAATTTATTAATATATCTAAACTTTGTCATCATATATTCTTTGAAGAAATGAACTTGCAATGCTCCTTGAATCAGGTACAAAAAAGTCAGTTTTGAAATATTGAATATATTCAAGTTATGCACGCCCTTAAAAGCAAGAGTCATATTAACAACATATGGTTTGCTGAAATGAGCATCATTTGATGGTAAAATGATTATTTAAACAACAATTTCGTTCTAATATCAGTAGTATTTAATAAAATCATATCAAATAACAAAATGTTGAGTTCATATTATAGATATTGTCTTTATCATACAGTCAAATAGGTTTCATTAATTCATAAGTTTTGTGTTTCTTTTATTGTGGAATGTTATAATAATATATGCATGGTTTTAATTTATTTTAATGGTATTTATATATATATAACTATTTACATACATTCTCTTTTTCTAATAGTTTTTCTTAAAACTTAATGATTTTGTTTGAATCTGAAATTAAAGAATTAAAATTTTGCACCTTTCTTCTGTAAAATTTCCATTAAATCAAATGTTTCTACCGTTTCGTATTTATATGTATGGCTGATCTTTATGCAATACAAATTTTGCAATTCATTAATTTGTCAAATTGCAGATGAGATGCCAAGAGAGCCATCCTTACTATTAATAGTAAAATGGGGAGGAGAGTTAACTCCTGCTGGAAAAATACAAGCAGAAGAACTGGGTAAAGCTTTCAGGACACTCTATCCTGGTGGACAAGGTATTACTCTATATCTCTTTTTATTATCATTATTGATTATTTTCCTTCTTAAAACAACTGTGTTGTGGCTTGATGAGTAAAATGCTTGCTCGCTTACAAACTAGTTAGATATGAAGTTGATCAAATCCAGTACTTAACAGACGTATATATTTATTAAACAGATTTTATTGCAGGCCAATTTGAAACACCAGGACTTGGATTCCTGCGTCTACACAGTACATTCAGACATGATTTAAAGATGTATGCCTCCGACGAAGGCAGAGTTCAGATGACAGCTGCTGCATTTATTAAGGTATTTTGATGTTTCTTCCCCTAATAAGATGCTAAGTTACAACATGAATATTCAACAGAGATTGTAAACTGTTGATCTGATTGACTGATTTAATTTGTAAAACACCAGGCTGTATTGAATGGGCTGAATGTTAGACAGAACTGTGTCACATTGGTATAGTGGAACTAATTGTGACTCAGTGAAATAAAGAGTTTATTGTTATCATAAATTTCATAGTTTTTTTAACAGGCCTGCTGGATCAGTATTGATATTACTTGATATAAAGAACTTTAAGTTCTCTTGTTATTTATGATTTGTAGGGTTTGCTGGCATTAGAAGGAGAATTGACCCCTATAATGGTACAGATGGTAAAAAGTGCCAATACTAATGGTTTATTAGATAGTGAAGGTTTGAATTCCAAGTACCAGGCTGTGTAAGTTACCTTATATTTTAGTTGAGAATTTGTAGAGACTTGCCAATCAGTTTTAATGATCTTTGAATATCTTGGATATTGAGGCATTACTTTTACCATTTAGTACGTTCCTTGTTCTGATTCTACTCTTTTATAGTCTCTGATTGCTAAGTAGGAAAGGCCAGCCATCAGCGTGTCAAAAATTTGCGTTACTCCTTTTATATATATTCAAATATCAACATTAGATTGTAGTTTAACATAGGTAATTATATTTGACAGTGTAAAAGAAAAATTAAAAGATATATTTAATCAAGATAGAGATTTTACAGATGAAGATTATAATAAGGTGTGTAAATTATATTCTTTTTATTGGCAATCAGTACAAATTGATTTGTCTTTTTGAAAATGTCATTCTACAGTTTGACAGCAGAGGCTAGATTTTTCTATTTTTGACAAATTATAACTAGTCCGAACAGATAGACACACTTTGTAAGGCTCAAAATAGATTGTAAATCTACTTCCTTTTCATAAATCAATCGTATTTTACATTATCTGATGAAGTATATAATTAAATTAAAGTAGGACAGCATAGAATATTTTGAAAACGTGTAACTGTATCATTTTCTTTTTCTTCGTACAGCTTGCCCCAACTGGTAGTACATCTTTAATAAATGCAATGAAATTTATCAAAAACCCAAGAGAAATGTGTGAAAAAGTTTATGAAATGGTGAAAGAAATAACATCTAAAATAAGAACACTGAAATTAGAGTTAAAATCTAGAGGTATGATTTATTATGAAACATTAAATATTTTTTTTGAATAATAAAGCTAAATTAGGAAATTTTCACTTATAAATAAAATATAATATATCATAATTTCAACTATTATAAATATAATGTTATTAATATAAAGATGTCAGATATCATTAAAGTCAGTTTATGAAAGTAACTTTGGATTACTTTTGTAGATTTGAAGTTATATCATGGTGAGTCATGGGAGTTGTTTATAAGAAGATGGGCAAAGTTAGAAAAAGATTTTAGATTGAAGAATGGAAGATTTGATATTAGTAAAATACCTGATATTTATGATTGTATTAAGTATGATTTACAACATAATAATATGACATTACAATATGAAGGTGCTGAAGAATTGTTTATGTGTTGTAAGGCTTTAGCTGATGTTATAATACCACAGGTACGAAAACAGTTTCAAACTATGGACATTGATAAATTGGCATGTTTATATGGATTTATTGAAGGTATTTTTTTGCAACTAAGAGTCAGGAAGTAATTTCCAGACATAAGTGAACTGCTCACCCAATGCTGAAGAAAATGTATTGAAAGAGATGTGGTAGATAGACTTAGTTCATTCTGGATTTCCCGTTTGCATAGTTCTTCTGGTTTTTCAGTTTGAATATCATTTGATTTTCTTGCAATTATTTATTTACGCCATTTTATTATCAGGAATATGGTTTAACTGTGGATGAAAAGTTACATATTGCTCAGAACTTCAGTAATCCACTAGTAAGAAAGATAAGAAGTGATTTTGCTCAGTGTGATCCAGCATATCAAGAAGATGAATTTACTAGATTAGATTCTAGGTAAGGATAGAATAGCTCAGTCCTGTCTTTGCTAAATACGGAAAACTTTTAAAAAGTTCCAATCAGCAATTATTTAAGAAAATAAACTCATTCCATCAGGTATGATACCTAAGCTATTCAACTGACTTACTGCAGTTGCATTTGTCTCATAGTTAATGCTTTTGTTTTGTGCAGATATTCCAAAGGAGTGTCAACACCAGAAAGATTTGTACGCACCAGGTTATATTTTACTAGTGAAAGTCATATACATTCACTGTTAAATATCTTACGGTATGGATCATTATGTGATGCTGGTAAGGATGAACAATGGAGGTCTGCTATGGAATATATCAATGCTACATCAGAATTAAATTATATGACTCAGATTGTCTTTATGACATTTGAAGATCCTAGTAAGGTTAGTGTCAGTTATTGTCTTCCTAAGTCAAAATTTTAGGTTAACTGAACTGAAAGAGCTTCATTTCATAAACTGAAAGGTTTTTTTGGCTTTAGCATTGAATGAAAACTCTATCAGTTGGTGAAGAAAATATTTTAACAATTTAAAATGAATAAGTACGAACTATGAAGATAACCATAAAATCTTTTTGGTAGCTTATATGAATCCCTTCCATAATATTTTCATAATTGTACCATTTTGATTGACATTTTTCAAGTCCATTTTTGAATTTTTTTTTATAGGATCCTTCTTCAGATGAGAGATATCATATGGAACTCCATTTTAGTCCTGGTGCTTACACTTGTTGTGATACTAGTTTAACATCCCCTAGAGGTATGGGATATCGACCTAACCCAAAGTCAGAAAAGGTCAGTAATTCAGATAATCACAATTTGTAGGTTTGTGTGGATTTTGAGCTTTGAGGCTTTCATATGCTTTGTGTGGATTTTAAAAATATTAGAGCCACTCATTTTCCATTCAATATGCAATCTCATTAACAATTTTTTTATTGATATACTTAAAGCTTCACAAAGAACAATGCTGAACTTGTTTGATAAATACTTTTTATAGATGTAGGCTTATTAAGTGGTTTATTTGATAATATTTCTGTATGTTCTAGAAAGAAGATGATAAACTGAAAGTTTCAAGTGGTCTTCAAGGTTCAAATACTTGGGAAGGATCATTTTTGGAACAAAACAGACCTCGAGGGGCAAGATCTGATCCCTTAAACTGCTTTGTAAGACATGACCCTACCTTTAATTTGGGTGAAATATTGGAAAGTGATTTATATGAAGAGGATGAAACGCTGGAATCATCCCAGAAGAGAGAGGTAGGTTCAAATTTATATTGTAAACCAGAAATACCCACATTTTTAAACCAGATTTCTTATGTCTAGCAGGCATGGAGGTGCTTGGCACATGGTATCCCTTCCAGAGGAGTTGCATTGCAGTATTCTTAACAAATGGTATATTTTGTCTTCTGTATTGTTTTTTTGAATTTAAGCTGAATTTTATCAATTCATTATATTGAATGGAATTTTTTTTTCAGGATTCTTCTAAAGCTGATTCTTCTATACCAGAATGGGACTTCAGTGAACCAGAAGACAAGGTTTGTAGTATTAGATTTACATGGTATTTTTTATTAGTCAAATTTTGTGCTCTCTGGCATGTTCACCAACATCAAATAGGCTCTCTGGCATATTCACCAACATGGTATAGACTCTCTGGAAAGTTCACCAACATGGTATAGGCTCTCTGGAATGTTCACCAACATCAAATAGACTCTCTGGCATATTCACCAACATGGTATAGACTCTCTGGAAAGTTCACCAACATGGTATAGGCTCTCTGGAATGTTCACCAACATCAAATAGGCTCTCTGGCATGTTCACCAACATGGTATAGGCTCTCTGGAATGTTCACCAACATGGTATAGGCTCTGTGGCATGTTCCTCAACATGGTATAGGCTCTCTGGCATGGTCACCAACATCAAATAGGCTTTCTTGCATGGTCACCAACATCAAATAGGCTTTCTGGCATGGTCACCAACATCAAATAGGCTTTCTGGCATGGTCACCAACATCAAATAGGCTTTCTGACATTGTCACCAACTGGGTGTTGGTCAGGCATAGTCACAAGTTTTGGCTATCTGGCTCTGTAAGCTGAATGGTTTGCCTGTGTTTTTTCGACAACTACCTATTTAGTCTTTGATTTTTCAGAGATGGTTAAGTAATCCTCAGAGGTCTGATTGAATTATTTTGTAAATATTTTCAGGTTCAATATCCAGGATTATCTAAAAGTGATAATGTTGTCAATCCTAAAAGTGATCCTATACCAGTTACCAAACCAATACAAATAACAGTTGACTCAGTCTCAGGTAGGGATCAGCTTGTAAACTGTGGGGCATGCACTCTTTTAATTTGGTTCTCCCAGTTTTCACTGAAAAAAAATTATGTTTGGTAGCCTGTTGTCATGTGGTTGTGGTGATCTTTTCTTTTTGACCATTTTTCCCATCTTCTAGATTCACCTAAACCTCAAAGTTTTGAAGAAAAGCGAAGTAGAAGTTTAGACGATGATAAGAAATCGGGTAAGTAAAAATATGTTTTTGGTTTCTAAGGAGTTGTTTTAATTTGGAAATTATTTTAAAAAGTTGTGTTTGTTGTTTGACAAAGATATTTGTTGCATAATATGGAAAGATTCAATATGTAAAATTAAAGTCCAATTTATTTTTAAGTTGAATCATAAGCTGGTATAGTTTAACTTGCTATTTGATCTCTCTCAAATCTTTGTCATTCTCAAGTTTTTGTATTGGATCCTTCTCTGATGTGTCTAATATCTTTGTCGGACTTTGTTCGAAATTATGAAGTCCTCAGAGTAATTTTACCTTAAATTTTCTCCATTATTGAATATTGAGATCCTATTATTATTGTTGCTTTCTTATGAGGTGAGTATCCTGTAAAAACCCACTTCATTTTCTCCATCTGTGTAAAAACCTTTATTATTGTGAAACGTAATGTCAAGCTATTGCAAAAATTGTCTTATACCTTGACTGCAATAGCCATGTTCTTGTATTTGTTTGTACGTTGGCAAATTAAGCCAAACAACACTAATTTTTAAAGTCTCTCTAACGAGGGTTATTATTAGCTGTATTTGCTAACGTACAATATAATCAAACTGCTGCATATGCAAGAAAGATGACTATTCTGTCGAGGTATAAGACAAAGTTTGTAATAGCTTGACATTGTGAAGATGAAGATTTCATAGATCTTTTTATTATATCTGATGTTGCTCATTTTGATCACCTGGTATAATTTATGGAATTAGTGTTGGCAGATTGGGAAGTCCTCAAATTAGCATTATCAAATTTGAAATTAAAATACAAAAGTGTGCACATTTTTATAAGCCCACATGATATGGGGGATGTATATTGCCGTCACTCATGTCGGTCCATCGGTCCGTCCACAATTGCTCGTAAACACCCTACAAGACACAATTCTTGACGGATTTTGACAAAATTTGGTGTGAGTGTTCGTAATCACCCAAGGATTAACCCTATTGAAAATCAGAAGAATCGAAAATATTTAGTATGAGTTATTGCCCTTGTTCTTGAAAACTCGTTCAATTTTTTAGATTGTAAACACTTTATAAGGCACTATTCTTGACAGATGTAGACAAAACTTGGTTTTATTATTCAGTATCACCCTAAAAAGTTCAAAAGAAGTGTATGTCTAAAGGTTGAATATTTCATACTGATAATTGTTACTGTACTGCCGAATGTTTTTATTTAAAATCAAAGCTGCCAGTAGGCGTATATTACCGTGTCTGGCAAGCTATCTTCTTGTTCATTTTTATCATATATTTAAATAAATCAAGAAATTTTACCACCTCATTAGTCAGATGTTCCCTTTGATAATTAACAATTAACTATTGTTCCCTTTCATATCATGAAAATATAGGTATGTTCGGATACTACCTTTCATAACATATACATATTACAAGTCATTTTGCCTCAGGGGGAGATAACTCTCACAATACCAGATTGTGTCTGATGTCTTTTAAATTGAAGGGATTCAAAAGAGGTTTTTTGTCCTTCTATGTGTAGCTCAGTCACGTTGCTTCTATTTGCACCATTCCAATTTTTTGTTTGAAGTCTGCTGTTCCTGTAATTTCTATGTTATGACCCTATTGCAAATACCATTCAAGCCAATTAGTATGAGTAATTAGCGTCTTTAATTTTTCTGAAATTACATGAGCAATTAAGGACAGATAGGGAATCATAGTCATGAAAGTGGAGATGTAAGTTTCTCTGACTCACAAAGACTAGAAAACCTTTTGAAGCCCTTAAAGGGATTGTAAAGATGTTTTTCTAAATTTGTAATGTGTACAAAGGGTCTTATGTGATAAAATATTTTACGATGAGTGACACCATTAAACACTTATTTTTTCGTTCAATTGCAAGAACCACAGTTGTCAGACTGAAAAGTGAAATGGTGCAAATTGATGCTATCAGTGTTTCTGATACACATAAAAAATTTAGAAAACCTCTTGACAATCCCTTTAATGGGTAAACATTCTATGCTTTTGTAGCAGGTTCTACTCTTTCTGGATTTCCTCAAGTAAAAGAACTCATAGAACAAGGCATAAATAAATGACTTCACACAGAAAATATTGGGAAACTGGAATCAGAAGTGATCTGCTATGATACTATAGAATTTATCCGTGCAGTGATTTAACTGTGCCATAAAAGTAGATGTAGAAAGTAGTAGAGTTTATTTTTAATTGTAGATGATGTACCAGTGGGTAATGAAAATGGTAATAAATCTAATGATAGTCGGTCACAATATCCATGTAGTCTATATATCGTAAACCATCACATATATATTTATTTCAGTCTGCTTGTCAACTTGATATTGTTCACCTATGTTAGATCAACAATAGTCTAGTCGCTAGTTAGATATTGGTCAGCTTTATATCAACTACTCTTTCAATATAAAATAATAGTTCCTATAAAAATAATAGTTCTAAAATTACATTTAATAGTTTAATTATAGGCTAGATAGTTTAGTTGAAAGATTAAATATACCACAACTCTTAACCAGAGATCACTTTATTTTTTTCAGATTTTTATTTTTTATAAGTATTTGATAAGATCATTTTTATATAATTGCGAATTAATATTAATATAAATATAAGATATGTTGTGAAATATAAAAAGCATCATCATTTATAAGATACCATTCTTTATATAAGACATCATTCTTTATATAAAACATTGTACTATATCCTAATATCCAGTTGCACCCACATACAAATGTCATCTTTCAATTCAATATAAGCATCATTTTGCATGTAATTGTTGTTGATTGATGACTCCCTGTTCTCCCTTGCTATAGAGGCCCCGCCCCTTAACCTATATACAAACATAAGTACTTGTGATAGGCATCAAATCTGGATAAAAAACTTTCATGCTTTAAGATCAAAGAAAGTAAAAATTGTAATTGATCATTCATGATTCCTTTGAAACAGATTCAATTTAGAAACAATTTCATGGATGGTGACTGTTTATATGTTGCTTTTTTAAAGCGACAGATGCGCCATTTTGAGGGGGTTGATTTGAATATTAGCAAATAGCCTTCAACAGTACTAGAAATATACGAAAATTGCATAATTCCTTCAAAAATATTTTGCTACTTCTATATATGTCTTTTATATATATGGCAGTGTTTGGTAAAAGGTTGACTCATCTTTATAACTTTCAAATACAGATGATTCTGACACACTTGGATTTGAAGGCTCAAATTTTGACGGTGAGCTGTGAACACTATTACTGATTGACTTTGCTAAATAATTCCCATTTTTCAGACTAAAATATGATTGGTCAAAATTATGGCGCTCATGT